ATGAGATGTTCCCGTTGGTAGCTCCACGGTTGCTTACACGGTGGTTCTATGTCTCATTCTTACCTGTTGCAGGTGTTGACTTGTCCGCAATGAACTAGGTGTACTAATGCTCCCAATTAATTTGATGATCTCAGTGGTCACCGTGATCGGTTTTCTGCATGTTCGACGTCAGCAGAAGGATTCGAAAAGGCAGAGGGGTAAGTCAAGTAAGTTGGTAGCAGTGTCACTGAGCGCGACTTCGCTGACAGAGACACTAGACAAATGCCTTCAGAAAGACCAGTATTCCCCGGCCCAGCTGCGGAAGGTTTGGCCTGGTCTCCTTCAACGACTTTGTTGACATTCAGAAGGCCCAGCAATCCAAGAGCCCGGTTTGAAGATGGGGATCGTAGAAAGAACATTCACATTATTTCTACAGCACAATACCTCAAACATGTACCTACCACCCTTGCCGTTCATAGCACTGGTCCTGCGCCAGGTCCATCCACTGATTGGCGACTCGGCGTCAGCGGGCTTGGCAAGGCAAGTTTGCCATGTGCCCTTTGAGTGAGTATCAGAGTAGGAACAGAAGGTCGGACAAGTGGAGTGTGATTGATTGCAACTCTGGCATTCAGCACCGACATCTTAAACAAAGTGCTTCGAAGCAATGTCGATCGATCGCTAAATCTGAAGCTGATCAGATGGCATCTGACATGCATGTACTGACTGTGGCATGGTTCCTGCTGCTCTGGGCTGAGTCGAAAACCTTGGTGCAGAAAAGAATTTCAGTACACCACCCGACTTCCGCCTTGATTGAGTATAGTCGACCTTGTGCAGTCGACCTTGATCTAGGCTACTAGGATGCACAGTCGACCATATTGGGGAGACACACATAGTCCACATTGTGTACAAAAGAGTCGGTCGGTTGAGGAAGCTTCGCAACCGCGAGTGTAGTGGTAGTAGTAGTAGTAGTAGTAGTCGTCGTCGTCGTAGTAGTCGTAGTAGTCGCCATGGCTTCAAGAGAGCGGCCGCCCTCTCCAGTCGACCGCCCTTCGGACTGCGTGGAAATCCCACACCGACTAGAACTTCATCAAGATGATGATGTGGCCATTCTCGTCAACCACATCAGTGGCGAGCGAGTCGTGCTGGAGACCAGGACGGACGATAACAAGGTCCACTACAGTCCTGACCAGCGGCACGGCTTCGTGGTGATGAATGGCAAGTCGGTCTGGGCGAGTCGATGCTTGGTTTCATGCAGTAAGAGTTTGAGAAGGGGAGAAGGGGCGGTAGAGAGTGTTTACGTATAAAAGAAGCGGAAGCAAACTCGAAAGATAAGAAGCTCAGCTGTTTCCCGAGGACTCTTCAAGTGGCACGCTTTCGAGTGTCGTCGCAGTCGAGAGCCGTTCCTCGTGCACCGCTTGAGCCAATCGGCGGGCCTGGTTCTTCAGTGGCTAGACGAGGGCATTGGGCGAACGTGGAGGAAGTTGACTTTGCCGGAGCAAGTCGAACCGGTCGTTACACTGGAGTTCGATCGCCCGTACCGCAGCAGCGGTTGCTGCATTTTCTGGTCTTTGCAAAGTCTGTTGAAGAGCTTCTTGCCCCCACAAACGGTGACTCAGTCCAAGATTAGCACTTGGATGCGAAAGTCGTGGCGGAAGGTGTTACAAAGCCATCTTGGCCGAGGAGTCGTTATGGATGACCACATCCTCACGACAGATCGCCAAGCGGCCGCTTCTTCTTCAGTCGGCCAAGCAGATGCAGTCGTGCTCGACTCAGATGATGTCGCAGTCGATCCGGCTGATGCAGTGGTCGCAGACCACCCCCCAGCTGCTGCCGCCCTCGCGGAACGGGACGCCTTACTATTACAAGTAGACATCACTATGCTGTCCACAGTCGCTGCTTTGCAACTGTTGTTGCACATGTGCAACAAGCCTCCTCAGGAATGCTCGGAAGAGACTGTTCGGCAATTCAGTCGCAGTCTTATGGCCTTTTTTCATGTGGGCCAAAAGTCGACACGTTCAGTCGACCACTCCGAATACCTCAGCTTGGTGTTCGAGAAGGAGTACAATCCGAGCATGGGCAGGAGCTGCGGGGAACCGCTGTTCAACGTTTCGGGCAACCTCGCGTTTGACAGAGTGGACAAATCCTGCAACTGGAAGGAGCTCTCCCGCCAAGAGAAGAAGAGCGTCAGTTTGCACAACAACGCGGACATACTGGCCTTGCTTTGGAGCACTCAGCGAAAAAGCAACTGCCAGTGGATCTGTGATCAACTGTGCTTCCAAGTCGCTCAAGTCGTGGAAGCTGGAAGGTTCTTGGTTTTCCACAAGTCGTTCGTCGTCCTGACTCAGAGCGAGAGTGGCAGCACGATCAAGCCGCGAAGGTCTCTCAGTGATCCCGCTGTTCTGGCACACCGCGCACGTCAAGGCTTGAAAGAGTCGGGCAAGAAGAGCAAGAAGAAAAGAAAAAAGGGCGAGGCCAAGTCGAACCCGCGGGCGATGGACGACAAGAAGGACCTGGTGAGGTACTTCTACGGCTGCCGGAGGGCGATGGCAGACACCAAGGTCTTGGCCATCGCTGA